CGGGGGGTACCGGAGGCGGCGGGGAGACTTGAACCGGCATCAGCCGTTTCGCGATACACAGGGGACCCAGTAGGGGGAGTGGGGAATAAAAAGAACGCCGGAGTGACAGGTAATTGACCAACACCGGTATAGTAGCAGGTAATGTTTTGAAAGCCCTCGTGCCAATTTGTGAGTCACACAAAATCTCGAGGTTTCTTGTTATTCCTTTTCAATCTCTCCCCGTCTCCTGTCTCACCCTTTCCTGCGGGTGGCAGCGAGGAGCTCCAGCGCCGTGCTGCTGCAGAACAGACCTGCGAGAAAATACTCAGCGCTGTGTTTATTGTTAAACCTGTGTTCAGCCATTGTCTGCCCTCCTACCAGAGCTCTCTCTCTCTCTCTCTCTCTCCCTCTCTCTCTCTCTCCCTCCCCCTCCCTCTCTATAACTCAAACACACACTCTCTCTTATTGTGGCTAAAGATGAATCTGCCAGCATGTGCCCATGCTCTTCATCACTGTCAGGTGCCCCATGGTGGTCCTCCTCTTCTCTCTCAAACTGGGCACCAACCGCTGGCTGGAATTATTCCTCACCTCCAAAACTCTCCCCACTGCTTCTAAATAAATGTGGCTGTGGCAACCGAGGAGTGTTGCTCATCCATCTTCACTGTGTGCTGTGAGGAGAGCGGCCGCCGGTTCAACCAGACAGAGAGTCTAATAATCCACACCGTCACCAAACACACAGTGTTGGATCTGCAGCGTTTGAGGAAATTGTCTTTGTCTGCGAGCGTTTCGCCCCAGAATCACAACAATCGCCGCTCCAGACGTCGGCGTTGGGGGTTTGGCCTCATGTTAGCAGCTCATTAGCAGATGTTTCTCTGTTTTATTTACAACTTCTGTCGATCGCCGGGAGATCATTTCTCTTCAACTTAATTGTTCTGCAATTAAGACGTAGAAGAAAACCGTCGCAGCTTCTCCTGACAAGGTGGCGTCTGCGGTGTCGACGTGTTGGTCAGCTGAGCGACTGAGGGTGACGCACACGCAGCAGACGCACCACACGCACCGGCGTAGAACACGCGGCGTGTTGTGATTTCCTCCCGCCGCGTTGATTATCAGCAGACAATTAAAAGAAGAAGCCGTTTGTTTGTCTTTGAGGTAATTAAGCTCTTCCGCATGAGTGATGTCGTCCTCGCCGTCCCCCTGTTTCTCCCGTATATGTTCCCGGTGCTTTTTCTGTCACATTCTCATGTTATTTTTAGGGGAAGATAAAATGTACAGCAGTGACAAGTCAGATCAGATTTGTAACACTCCTCTGAGTTGATTTGATTTGATTTGGACCTTAAATCCAACGACCTGCCGTCAGAACTCCAGTCCGGGTCTGTTTCGCGTCACATCGGCTCAAACTGGTTCCAATCCCGGCACAAATTCTTGCTCCTCTAAAGTTCCCCGGGTTCAAATTTGAAATGGGTTGGTAATTAACCAGTAAGCCGCGCTTTAAAATGTCACATTTATTGTATTTTCATATCTCTGTAATTCAGTCCTGAAACAGAACGATGTGTGTTTTATAGCAGCGGCGATAAGAGGCTTACACAGTCGGAATCTCACCATAGATCATTTAACAAACGTCTTTGGTGGCCACTCGTTAAATTGGTTTCACCCGCATATTTGGGCCTTATTTAAAAGATATCTTTAAATAATGGTAAGCAGTTTAGCTCCTCTGAAAAGAGGAGTCTGATGCAAATG